TAGAGGATATAAAATATTAGCCTTAAATGTCAAAAGGCATAGAGTTGTGAGTTTTAAAATGTGAAGTTTATTAAAAGCTTCAAAAATCTAACGTTAAAGAACCTTTATTAGCGCATTCATTGCCTAAAAAACGTGTTGTAGATGTATTGGACTTTCAAAATGTAAGTTATTCTATGTTATCAAACTAAATAAATTGAGAGGATTAAGCTAAATAATAAAACAATTGCTCATACCAGTGAAAAAATAAAAACCTATTTTCAAGATATGGAATTCCGTCCATTGTTTTGAATGTCCCTTCAATGTTTATGAATTTAAAAGTTTTGCATAAGAACGGGATTCTGAGTACAGTCCACTATAACCTAAAAGCATAACTGCCCCTGCCAACTTGTACGGCTATTGAGAAAGATTTTACGAAGTGGTAGTAAAACAACAATTAAGTTTGGAAAAATTTTCTATAAACAAAACTATTAAGACGCCTATAAGCATAATTAGCCAATTTCTTTTTTTAAATTTAAACTTTAAGATTTAATGCGCCAAAACGCTATGGATGCTACCACTAAGAAAATAATTTTTCAATTGCCATACAAGTTTAGCTTATGATAAAAGCAATGGAATGGCTGTTGGCAATGCAAAATCCATTATGAAAAGAAAAGCATTTGAAGATCAATACTGTACAATAAAGAATGGGTAGAAGCAATCATGGAATGCGGAAGCACTCATATTTCAAAGCTTTATTTATTCCCCGTTCATTTGCTATATAGACGTAGATAAAAAACCAAGATTTCAATTTACAACAAGTTGTTAAATATTGAAAATCTCTAATAACATAACTTAAAGTATCTCTTAGCAACTTATAAAACAAACTTTTAAAATTTATGTATATATATACTCATAAAATATATTATAATAAATATTTTTGAAACAAAAACTGAAGCAGAAACGTCAGGGATGATCTCGAACAACTAAAAGTGAGGGATATCGTAACAGACTATTACTTTAATAAACGTAACTTAGAACCTGCTACAGACAAACGTAAGAAATCCCAAATGTTCAAAACCAGTTTAAGTGAAACGTTTGTAAGAAACCTCAGATTTTAAGACGAACTGTGATTACATTTAAATCAGCAGAAGTGCCAGACTTAGAATTTTGTGATAACTCTGTATCTGTTTCTGGGGAAACAATTGTTTCTTTCTTACCTCAAAAAAAATTTCAATAGTTCCTTAACCTAAATTATTAAAAGAAGTAAACTTACAAATCTAATTTGACTTCTCACTCGGTGACTGAATCTTTCATTAATGTTTGGCACTGTCCCATTTACTTATCCTTTGTTAAAAATTTCTCGAAGTCATTTTTTCAAGCAACGCTAAAGTCCTGAACTTCAGAATAACTACCGATACGTAAATTGTTTTAATAATAATCTGAAGTCTAATTTCAGATTGAATTTTCTTTCCGATAACAATATATGTCAACTTTTTTTGTTTTTTGCATTTCATGTTTTCGAATTTTTGCCTTTTTGAAATGCTTATAAAAATTTTCCATTTTGTTAGAAAAATCTGTTTGAATTGTGTTCTTTTGATGAATAATATTTCTTAGACAAAATTTTTACCGTGATCTTTAACGAAACAACTTTTAAACTGAAAAAAAGTCAGAAAAGCTGTTAAAATTTTCTGGTAACACTACTGTAGAATTTTTTTTTCCTATAACATTTTAACTCTGCAAATTTATATATTGTCACGTAGAATAAATAGGACTTAGTCTACAAAGTTGGAGAGCTTTATTCAACACCTACAAAGTACAGTGAACAAAGTAACTGGGCCCTCGGCTAGAGACATCCAGTCTTTTATAGGAATAATAACAGGAAGTGACAGGAACAGGAAATGATATGCTAGAACATTCTAGAAACTTCTATAAGAAACATAAATAATAAATAAAGGCTTATTTTAGAGTTTTATATTTTCTTACAGTTCTGCGGATCGAGCCCTGAATCTCAGTCTTTCCAGGACGACGACTCCGACCTCTCGGCCACACTGACACGTCAATATTAATAGTAATAATATTAATAATTATATAATTATAATTAATTTATATAATAATTAGTTTTATATATTAATTGTAGGTGTCTTTTTCATCTTAATTGTGCTTTTCACAAAGTTTCTCTAGTGTTGCAAGTAAACGGCATTTTTTTTTCTTAAATTTCTTAGATAGTACGAGGGTTGCTATATATATTTCTGGCCTAATAATGAAAACACAAATATGTAGGATCGAAATTGGTTTTATTGTTTTTCAAAATACTAGGAGGCTCCGCCCCCTGCTCGCTAACGCTCGCCATCCCCCGAGAATTGCTACGCAATCCTATGCGGTTCACGCCGTGAACCATGGCTCGCTGCGCTCGCTCGCCAATGAACACAATGTTCTAGCACAAAGACATAATATATTATCATCAAAGACATAGTATTTTATCATCAAAGACATAGTATTGTACTTATGTAGAAGAATTCTACCAATGTTCTTATTGGCTTTTAAAAAAGTATATTAGTTTAGATTGTACATGGTGAAAAAATCAAAACATTAGCTAAATAAGAAACATATTAGCAAAATAAATTATCAAATATTGCTTCACTAATATTCTGCATTTTAAAG